TATATATATATATATATATATGTTGGGGTAGAGGGTGTCACAATGAAAGCCATGTTGTAAAAGTCCCCACAACCGGTAGCGCTTCAACTAAAGTTGCTATAGCCAATAACGACAAAAACCAACTTAATGTTATATCTACGAAGTCGTTACAGGTTATAGCGCCAAAAATTAAAAAAAAAATATAATTAAATGAAGTCTTTATAGTCTATAACGACACCAGTTAATTATTTTTTTAAAAAAAATTATTTAATAAGTATATAACATTTATAAAAAAAAATTAAATTTATTTAATAATTTTTAAGACTAACATAAATTGTTAAAAAATAAAGAAAGAATAAATTCATTTTTGAATTGAATTATTTAATATAAGAAATATAATTATAAAATATATTATATATATATACATAATAAAGTAAGTAAATTTTTTTACTAATAGAAAAATATAAATTTTTCATAAATTATTAAATAAATAATTTTAAATTTATAAATATTAATTAAATAAATTAAACATAAAGTCGCTATTTTCCCTAATGACACATTTGTCTTTTAAAATTTATTTTATATAATATGTAAACATATTAAAATTTTTAAAATTTTAATTTATGCTTTAAAAAATGATTGTAAAATAATTTGAAAATTTTAAATTTAGGAATAAATAAAAGTTTTATTTGTACAAAATCATTATAGATTATAATGCCTAAATTTTTTTATAAAAAAATAATTAAATAAAATTGTTATAGGCTGTAGTGATACTAATTAATTATTTTAAAAAAACATTAATATAATTAAATTTTTAACATATAGCATTTGTCAAAAAATTAAATTTATTTAATAATTTTTAAGAGTAACATAAATTGTTAAAAAATAAATAAAAAATAAATTCATTTTTAAATTGAATTATTTAATATAAAAAAATAAAATTATAATATATATATATATATAATTGTAAATATAAACATAATAAAGTAAGTAAATTTCTTTATTGCAGTAAAATATAAAATTTTTAAAAGTTATTAAATAAATAAATATATTTTATAAATATTAATTAAAAATATTAAACATAAAGCTACCCTCTTTAGCAACACATTTGTTTTTTAAATTATTTTATATAATATGTAAACATATTAAAATTTTTAAGATATTAATTTATGTTTTAATTTATTTAAATTTTTAACATATAGCATATTTAGAAAAATTAAATTTATTAAATAATTTTAAAGTAAATATAAATATAATAAAGTAAGTAAATTTTTTATTAGCAGTAAAATAAATTTTTCATGAATTATTAAATAACTAAAATTATAAAATTAATATTAATTCAATATTACTAAATTTAATATAAAAAAGTTTATTTATAAAAAAAACATTATGCAACGATGAACATGCAGTACCTCCTTTTTTTTATTACACGGAGTCGCTATGGGTACTGTACTATTCGCGTCAAGGCGTTGAGTTTGAGCTCGGCACTAAAGCACTGAACGATATTGGATAGACGCTACGTGACATTAGCCAGAGCAAAGGCCCACTGTCTATTCAGCCGCGACCAATCTCAGGCCCAGATCAACCTTACCCTCGCCTAAGATGAAAACCCTAATTCACATCAAGGTACATGCACTATATATATGAGACGTCTACACTATCAAATACTAACTTTAGCATCAGAGTCTCTTTTGCAGGTACCACTCCCACCTCGGAGCAGCCGACATACCCAACGAAGGAGGCTCACCAATCTTGCCCAACAGATCGCCCCTCTCGACCGATCTCAGGTAAGAACATTTGGCACCCACCGTGGGGCCGATCAAGAATTCTCTTATCGGCCACGCTTATGGTTTTCACCTGAAGCCATAGCAGAAGAGCAACAAACAAAGCAGAGCAACAAGCATCCAGGATGGAAGGAGAAGCGACCTTACGACGGTTGGTCGAGCAAGTTGAACAGATGCAGCAACGGCACACCGCCGACTTGGAAAACATGCGCACTCGACATGAGGCCGATCTGGCGGCGCTACGAGCAGAGAACAAGTGCATTCAGGCTCAACTCCACCAACAGCCCCCACACGTACCTCCTCAACCAAGCAATCACCACGTAGAGGAACACCAATCGGTCTCTCCACCACTGACAACACCTAGAGCACACACCCACCGGTTGGTGACACATCGATCGCGTGCACCATCACAAAGATCGGACCATGAAGTTAGCAAGCACCAACGTTGGCTCAGTCACAACGAGCCAATGTCCGCCGCCACCCCTTTGTGGATGGCATCATGGAGACACCTCTCCCCTTCGGATGGAAACCCCTAAACATCGACAGGTATGACGGGTCCACCAATCCTGACAAACACATAGATCTTTACATCACCCAACTAAACCTCTACACCAACGATGACGCCATCCTGTGTCGGGTCTTCCCGGCCTCACTGAAAGGATCGGCACTCGCCTGGTATACCCAACTACCGCCAGGGTCGATCAACAACTTTGACACCTTGGTCAGGCGATTCATGGCACAGTATGCAACAAGCCGACCCCACCACATCACCTCGATTGCCTTAGCCAACCTTAGGCAAGGCGATGACGAGCCACTGCACAAATTCGTGGAGAGATTTTCCAACATCGCCATCAAGATCCACAACCTGAACCCTGTGGTCGCCCTACACGCCATGCTCATGGCGCTCAAGCCGGGTCCCTTTGTCGACAGCCTTTGTCAGTGACCTCTCCCGGACATGGATGAGCTATGTGCCCGAGCTGCCGGATACATCCAGATGGAGGAGCACACAGCATTCCAAGATCAAATCCGAGGAAAGTCACAGGGGAAGCAAGACCACGGTCACAAGGACAAGATGAGAGTCTCCAATGACAACCAATTCAAAAAGCCTCGGCAGAATAAAGGTGGGAAGTATGACTTCTACACCCCCTTGAACGCACCTCGAGTTCATATACTAGAGGAAGCGAGTAACACCGACCTGATTACCCTGCCACCACTGGGGCACAGAATAGTGCCGACAAATCCAAGCATTGTCGATACCATAGAAATTACGACCACACAATCGAGGAATGTCGAACACTCAGGGATCGCATTGAGGAACTCGTCCAAGGAGGACACCTCGGACAGTACGTCCAACGATCACAATCTCATAGGGGAGGCTACCATGGACATGGTCGCGGAAGAGGATGAGGACGGGGCTCCAATGCCCGGACATACCAACCCTCTAGATCCCAGCAAAACATCAGTGGGGCGGTGTAGGCCGAGGTAAGTCATGACACATGTAACACTCCCTTATGCAGAGTTATCAATACGATTGCAGGTGGCTTTGCTGGGGGCGGTTCAAGTAGTTCGGCATGCAAAAGACACTTGCACAGTATCAACAATGTCCATGTTGACACCTCAGCCCCGCCACGCAACACACCACCAATTACCTTCACGGATGACGACTACGTCGGCATCTGCCTAAACCAAGACAACCCCATGGTCATTGCTATTGAAGTAGCCAACTAGGAAGTCCACAAGACGTTGATTGACCAAGGAAGCTCGGCTGACATACTATATTGGCCAACGTTCTTAAGGTTAGATATCCCTCAGTCTCTCATCCAACCTCACACAGAGCCCCTAGTCAGTTTTGCAGGTGAGTGTGTCCACACTCGGGGATACATAGAGCTGCTAACAACCTTTGAGAGCCCCCTAACTCAAAAAGAATTATGGTCAAATACGTCCTCGTCGACGCCAACACGTCATATAACATCATTATAGGTAGGCCGACGTTGAACCAACTTGGAGCGGTGGTGTGCACCCCGCACTTGACGATGAAATTTCCCGGGGGCAATAGGTAGATAGTCTCCATTAAGGCAAATCAGAGGACAGCTTGGTAATGCTACGCTGAAAGCCTAAAAACTTCATCACTAGTAGCGGAGCAACATTGAGATGAACCTACCACCGTAGCTCACATAGCTCAGGCTGAAATTATCGACCTGGATCCTAAATCGAAGTCCCACGACAACCGACCAAGCCCCATTGATGAATGTCGCCACCCGCCGAAACGGACCTTGGCATTCGCGACGATGGTCGGACTCTTTTTAAAGGTTTGAAAAGTGGTGGATTGCTAGAACGACTTATTCTCAAACTGAGACCTTGTCGAGCTAACAATTTTATTAAATGATTCACCAATCCATGTTAATCCCAAGCGGGACCCTCCATAGATTAGTGGTTTTCGCAAAAGGTAGGGTTCTTGGAGTCGCCACCAATGTTTTACTCAAAACATTGGAAAAAGATTTAAGGCAATTGATTTTATAAATCAACCTTGGCCATTACAACCAGAGTTGGGTAAGGGAGTCGGTTACGTGCGGGGAAGGTGTTAGCACCCCACAACGCCCCTTTCGGGTTCCCTATGACGGATTATTTCATAAATAACAGTGTAAAATTACTAAATTACCCCTATTTATTATAAACGATTATAAATTAAATATCTACATGATGACAAAATTAAATATGCGACAATCAGAAAGCAATAAAAGAAGGGATTTTAAGAAAAACCTCTTGAAGCGTGCTTTTATATATCTAAACAGATGTTAGGAGGCTTTTTGGCACTCCCTCCCACTACACGCTCGCTCGCTCCTTCCCTAAAAATTAATCTTTACTATGGAAATCAAAAAGATTTCCCTTCGACTAGTTCGAATTCTCAAGCTAAATGCTCAGAACTCAAGAACTTCGTCGGATCGGCTCTCGGAGAGAATTCTAGGGCAGAACACTGCTCAAAAACCCCAGAATACTCAAGAAGAGAGTCCAAGAAGTGTGAAAAAGTGTCAAATGACGTCCAAATGACGTCTTATTTATAGGGGTGAGGCGCAGTACGGCCCCTGGTGTCAATACGGCCCGTATTGAAGTTTTGAACTTCAATACGGCCGTATTGAATTCAATACGGCCGTATTGAGGTTCAAAAACATCAATACGGCCGTATTGCAGTTCAAAAATGCAATACGGGCCGTACTGAGCTCCAAAGAGGTCGTATTGAGCTCCACTCCTCTCACTTTCTTATTTTTAGCTACTCTAAGACCTCTAAACCTACAGATAGTCATCCTATGGTCTTCCAGGGTCTTCCAGGAGTCCTTCCGGCTGACTTTCCTTTGGTCTTCGAGAGTCTTCGAGTCTTATTTCCGACCCGGACAATTTTAGGGGTCTACAATGAACTGGTCGATCTCCAAATCGGAAAACTCCCCGGCCAATGCACTAAAATAAGTCAACAACTGAGCCTGGAGCTGCGACAACAACTCATAGTTGAGATCTCCAAAAACGCCGACCTATTCGTATGGTCCAGTGCTGACATGCCAGGTATAGACCCTAACCTCATTTGTCACAGGTTAGCAATCCACAAAGAGGCAAAGCCAGTGGCTTAGAGGAAGCGAAAGGTCAGCGGAGAAAGACGAGAAGCCATCATAACCGAGACACAAAAGCTAATGAGAGCAGGATTCATCCGAGAAGTCCGATACACTACGTGGCTAGCCAATGTAGTGCTCATCAAAAATAACTCGAGGAAGTGGCGTATGTGCATCGACTACACCAACCTGAACAAAGCTTGCCCCAAAGACGCTTACTCCCTACCAAGCATTGACAGGTTGGTCGATGGAGCATCCAGTCACGCCCTTCTTAGCTTTCTGGATGCATACTCTGGATACAATCAAATCATGATGTATCCACCAGACGAAGAGCACACGGCTTTCATCACCAGCAGATCAGACGAAACATGGAATTCTACGTAGACGACATGGTCATGAAAACCACATCGGCCGACGCCCATATTGCTGACCTAGCCGAGGTGTTCAACCAGATACGAAAACACAACATGTGCCAAAATCCTAAGAAGTGCATCTTCGGAGTCCAAGGAGGTAAGTTCCTCGGCTTCATGATCACTAATAAGGGCATTGAAGCCAATCCAGAAAAATGCAGGGCCATCATGCAGATGCACAGCCCCCAAAATGTCAAAGATGTCCAACGATTGGCAGGCAGGATAGTCTCTCTCTTACGCTTTATTCCTCAGCTGGCAGAAAAAGCAGGCCCCATCTTTCCCCTCCCCCAAAACCCAAAGAACTTTGAATGGACTAACCAATGTGAAGAAGCTTTCAAAAGCTTCAAAAACTCCTTTGCCACCCCGCCAGTCCTATAGAGACGGGATCATCACTCTGACCTCTTTCTGTACTTGGCAGTCGGCGAAAGTGCAATTAGCGTTGTGATGGTACAAGAGCGCGACAAGAATCCAACTCCTATATACTACATTAGCCGAGTTCTCCAAGACACAGAGAAGAGGTACCAAACGCTTGAGAAGTTGGCCTTAGCATTGGTCACCTCGGCCCGACGTCTTTGGCCCTATTTCTAAAGTTACCAAGTCGTGGTAAAAATGGATTACCCAATCAAACAAATACTGAGAAAGCCAGAACTCGCAGGGCGCATGATTGCGTGGTCAGTAGAGCTATCTGAGTTTGGAATCCGATATGAAAATCGGGGCCCTTTGAAAGCCCAATGCCTAGCGGATTCCATGGTTGAGCTCACCCCAATCTTAGCAGAAGAAGAGCAGGTATGGACTTTATATGTTGACGGATCTTCCAACACTAAAGGTGATGCAGGTATCATTTTAGAAGGGCCGAACAACGTCACCATAGAACAATCTCTAAAATTCGGGTTCAGGATCACCAACAACCAAGCAGAATATGAAGTACTACTAGTAGGATTGAGGCTGGCCCGAGACATCGGAGCACAAAGGGTGAGTTGCAACAGCGACTCAAAACTCATGGTAGAACAGCTCAGCAGGACCTACTAGACAAAGGACACCCTAGTATAGAGGTAATATCACACAGTGTCCCAATGGGTCTCATCCTTCGAGGAGTTCACCATACATCATGTACCCCGAGAACAGAATGTTAGGGCCGACCTCCTGTCCAAGCTCGCCAGCATAAAGCACCCTGGACAACATCGGACCATCATCCAAGAGACCCTTAACTCTCCCAGTCTAGACGACAAATTCGTTAATACCAATGACATCGAAGACAAGGGATGGATGACAGACATATGAAACTACTTAAAGGAGGGGATACTACCTTAAGACAAAGACGAAGCTCGGAAGATGAGGGTAAGATCATCTAAATTTGTTAGCATTGCAAGTGAACTTCTCAAACGAGGCATCTTGGCTCCCCTGCTAAAATGCCTAACCATGTCCCAGGCCACCTATGTCATCGAGGAGATCCACCGAGGCATATGCAGAATGCACTCCGGTGCACGCTCGATGGCGACTAGGGTGATCCGAGGTGGATATTACTAGCCCACACTGAAGTCAGACTGCAAAGCTTACGTACAAAGATGCAAAGAACGTCAACAATTCGGCAATGCACATCGGCAGCCACCTGAAGTCCTCCACCAAATGGCGTCCCCATGGCCCTTTGCCTAGTGGGGAATGGACATCCTCGGACCATTCCCCTCTGTGAAAGGCCAACTAAAATTCCTACTCGTCGGCGTCGATTACTTCACCAAGTGAATTGAAGCCTGCCCACTCGCCAAGATCACCGCCGAAAACGTGCAAAAATTGAAATGGAAACACATCATTTGCAGATTTGGCATCCCACACTCCCTCATCACCGACAGTGACCGACAATTCATCGCGCAAAGGTTTGCAAGCTTTCTCCTAGAGCTCGACATTAAACACCTCGCCACCTCGGTAGAGCATCCCCA